TAAACAACTACTAGAAAGGTCACTGAGGTCAATTTTAGAATATCTTAAGGCGAGATTTGGGTACGTTTCTTACCGCGGCCTCCGCCTGAGACTTGTAACGCTTCACTTGACTTTCTAGTCTCGCCACCTAGAGGAGATTTTATACTTGAGTCAATAATGGAAAGTAAAGTGAGCAACAAAAGAAACTCACAGTGTCTGTCACACAACACTTCTCTACGGCAGAAAGCGGAATGGCCGCTTACTGCCGCGTTGTCTTGGGCCTTCAGAAATCATTGTAAACTCAGTGATAGTGAGAAAAATAACGTGTGAAGAAAGAAGAGTTGTTTTGGACAATTGCTTGAATAATATTTTTGATAGTTTCAATGACTTGGTTCCGTTTTCGGCTGATTAACAGTTTGTAACAGTTTGCACTAAACTCCTTCAGGAGATTTTGAAGTTCTCTCACAAAGAAGGAAGAGTAATTTTCTTCCCTATGCATCCAGTTAGCAGGTATATTGGGATACGTCTGGGGGTTCACTTGAGCTCCTTACATGTGCTGGGTACTTTCAACTTCTCAAATTTTAGGCAGTTTACAGACCTGTTCTTTTAAAGATTGGGACAAATTACCATCCCTATTGCTTTTTTTCTATTCTTCAGTTAAAATTCGACAAAAATCATCTTGGGACACAGCTAACTGGGATTGTTTGGGAAGGTTTAAAACTTGTTTAAAAGCAAACCAGAATTATGCATCACCGCAACATTGCGTCGAAGCTCCCAAGACGGCGGGGAGCGGTTGCTAACTATCGACTTCTTACGATGGTTCGAAAGTAACCCTCTCTTTTCTATCCCTTTGCAGTGGTTTCAGCTAAAAAATTAATTCCTTGGTCTTTAGAGAAAGTCTAGTACTCATCACACAACCCCGATCTCTCTTCCTCTAGCGCGTTTGAATGTAAGATTTTGAAATAAGAAATAGGTCACTTGTGAAGGCAAGAGAAAATTTCTGATAAATCTTCGGCTTAGTGAGTGTTTGGTCCAAATGTTTCTTCCTTTAAACGACCGAGTGATTGACAAGTGGCATGGAGACGAGTTTAAGCTATCTCAGCCATTCAGTTTTACTTACAAGTCCTTCAAGCCGCGCATTGTCCTGCTCTGCTTTTTGCAGCTTTATTTTGAAATCATTTATTTGCCTACTAAATTCTCCTGGAAGGAAATGGAAAGATAGCATGATTGATTTTTAAACTATAGACACTTTGTAACTAAATACAAGTTCGAGTAAGATAAACGGCAATTTTACAAAGCAAAGTAGGCCTTTCAGTCATCGTCAGAGGTGCAGGCTCACGTAGAACGTTGCAACTGCGTAACAATGTGTTGAGTGTTACAGCTGTGTCGAGTTCTCGAGCAGTTTAGCAGCGGCCGCTCTTCCAGCGTTCCCTGGCACTTTTGAAGAGGTTGTTTACAAGCGTTCCCTCACCCAACCCCTTCTACTTATTCCTTTCTTTGTTTTAATCAGGGCTTATGGGCGTTGGAAAAGTGGACTCATGGCTGGGTTGCGGAGGTTCGCCAACCATAGCGGTGGTATTGTACCTGAGGGCTGGCTCGCTGCATTGGAGCGCCTGACAAACAAACACCTTTAACGTAAGCGAGACAGCGTCGGTTTTGCATGAACCTAACTCCATGTGAGACTTTTAACGCATCGCATGTTTAAATAACGTGTTAATTCAAGTGGCGTGTAAGATGAAGAATGAGATTAGTGGTGAAACTGTTACAAATTTTACTCAGCAGTTGATAAATATTAGATGATTAAGACGCGACTGGGCTGCAACTTTTATCGTTCGTTAATTTACGTTAGTTTGCTTACATGAATGCATTCATTATGTATCACTGCATTACTCCTTAATTCATTCGCACATGTAAGTGAAATGAGTTTTAACTTATGGCTATAAAAGAGGAAGACAACAGGAAAGGGACAACAAGAAAAAGTACGAGACTATTTCTGTGTTAATGTTACAGAATTGGTTTCAAAAGACAAACGGTTGCGGTTTGGGCAATGCAAACGGAAAAAGAAAAGCCTGTCCAATTGCGACAAAGCCTTGCTTATTGCAACAAGTACATAAAAAACTGACTGCTAACCCTGGATTTGAAACGGACATGGATAACATGGCTTGGGCTTCTAAGAAGGGGATGGGGGGGAGGGTCACGCCCTCTTGTCACATGAGTCCCTATGACAGGATGATTTTTTGGCAGGGATCACATTTTCGCAAACCTCCAGCAAATCAAATTTACAGGTGGTTATACATTTTCAAATATTTCAAGTTGCTGCTGAGGAGAGCCAAACCCTGCTGGCCTCACACTTTTCAAGGGTTCAACTATAAAAATGAAGATTAGAAACTTCACCCAGTCGAAAACTGAAAGAGGACTGCTTGCAGTCTAAAAATGTTTGAACCATTACAATTAACACTATGATGATAAATCTCAGCTAGAGAACACATACTTCTAAGTTCCTCTAAATCTGCCGTTATTGCTTTGGGTGTCTCAATATCTTCTCTCTTCAGAGATGCTACCTCTGTTTGAAGATTTTTTATCTGGAAACGAAAAGAAAAGAGTGAAATACAGTGAATCATTAGTATCAGCTGCATGTGTCACATATTCCTACTGCTTATCACAACTTGAAATCCTTTTTTAAATGCTTCACTCCCAAGAACTCATTAGAAATTCTCCATGCTTTCTGCCATACCATTCATAACAGGGCTCCCACGCGCGCTTCTCGCGCGTGGGGCAGAGCCCCATACATATGGAATATGGTCAACCTCTTTTCGTTTGGTTGTCACGTGACTGACCGGGCGTACGTACGTACGTGCCTTCAGATTGCACGGGTAGGGTAGGGGAGACTATCAAAACGAAGGGAGGGGTGTCTCAGGCGAGTCTTGGCAAATGCACATCTTTTATGTTATCATTAATATTACGAACTTGGGAGCTCCGCTTTTAGGCTTGGCTAAATCTATATATTATGATGTTAGTTTGGAGAATTAATTTTTGGCTTTGGATCAACCAATAATCCTGACCCCTAACTGATATTTGTCTTTATTTTCATCACTTGTCTTCTTGATATTGCACTGATATTGTACGGAGAAATTCTATCATGATCATGAGGGGAGTTAAAAGAGTCAAATCTCCTCTTATTTTTGTTCACTTTTGAGGGTACACGGTAACTCTGGTAAAGTGTACCCAGCTCAGCCTGTCACATCCACATCTGCAAATGGAGTGATAGTGTAATCAAACCCTAAGATGTACTCTAAGAAAATAAGAACACAGACTGTAATTCACATAATGTTGCTACTTGTAAGTATAAAGGTAAAGTTTTTTTATTTCATCCACAGTGAAAAACTCATTTTCCTTCATATCATCCTCAGTAATCCAATATTATGCCTGAAAGCACGAAAACCAAACGAACCAGAAAAACTTCAACAAACTAACCTACAGATAAAAACAAATCAAAAAAAGTTTCAGTACCTGTAAAACTAAAACATCCTTTTCATCTGACAAAGATGGCCGCCGACTGTTTGAACGACTCTTTGGTGGTTCAGATACACTGCTTCGATCTGAATAAATGAAAGAGAGAAGAAATAATAACAACAACAAGTGAATACTTACTTCTATTGAACATATTTTAATTAAAACTTGAGAAACTGAGAATTATGAAGGCAAAAGTCTGTCGAGCAAAGTCTTGCAGGAACCATTAAGAATTTCTTCTATTCGAAAAGTTAGATGCAGAACAATTTGGACAGTAATGTACGTGACCCATTTTTTCCAGTCATATCATCCTGGCACTGGTGTTAAATGCAGGAACCATTCAACACTATCTTTAGGTCTGGCACTAGTCTACCAATTCATACCCGAAGATGTTTCATCAGGTACAGCCAAACTAAGAGCATCTCTGAGAGTAACTGTGCTAGTTTCCTCATCTTCACCATCTTTCAGATATTGGTCTTCGTACAAGGAAAGGCCTCGCTCCTGAAAGGAAAAAAAACAAGGCATTAATTTATGATACAAAGATGCAGGTACAAGTGCCACAGTTCATGACACAGAGTGGAAGAAACTGGAAAATCATTTGAAAATGGAATGCAAGTGTGGTACAATTATTATAAGGTTTTTTAGAAAAAGTCATAGGGTATTATTTGGCTGATTTTTCAGATGGGCTTTAAAGGTGTTTTAAAAAGTGATGGAACTAAGCATAGTATGAAATGAAAACAAAGACAACAGCAAAGGCAAATAAATAACATCCAAAGGTAATATGTATCTGGGTAATTCCTAAGTTCACTGACAAGTTGAAAATGCATCACAGGTTTGTATGAATTTGTAGAAACAAAATTTGTGTCTAGTCCTGTTTTTCTGCTGGAGCCATGTTTTGATAAGTGAAAAAGCACACCATAATATTATTATTAACTTAGACATAATCCTATACATGCATCAGGGGCTTATTACCGCCAAGAAATTATCTCTAAACTCGATGGCTTCCTTAAGTCGTTGAATTTCTTCTTCACTGCTTTTTATGGTCTTTTCGAACCTACTGCATTCCTGAAAAAGAAACAGAGAATTGGTAAATGTTAGTTGCATAGAAACAGTTTTAGAAGACAAAATACAAATCCTACACCAAACCAAAGAACAAAGCTGGAGAGCAAGTGGCTATGAAACATTTTTGTTTCAGTTGCCAGATGGAACAATTCTGTTTCCAAATCACTCACACGGAAGTACAAAAGTTTCAAGTTTTAGAAACATTTCTTTGCATAATTGCATTCTTGCTATTCTACAATCACCAGCTGGGTGTACAAGCACCAAGAAATGTTCCTCCTGGGGTGCTAATTTATGCAGAGAACATTGAAAGTCTACAAGTTAGATGCCTGCTGACAACCAGAAATTAAATGCTGATCCCTAACATCTAACTCTAAGTTGCAGTAATAACCAGCTGGTCACATTTTCAAAACCTGCAAACCAGCCACTTTTTTGCAATTTTCATTGTAGTTGAAATGAACTTTGGTTAAAAATTACCATTAAGAAATTTGAATTGTCTTTCACTTTTTTTCAGCAATTACCTTTGTTTTTTCTTTACATTCAGCTCTAACTTCACCTGAAATCTCCTCCTCTTCCACCAATCTAAAATGTAATATCAAACAAAACTAATGGTCTGTAAAATAAAAATTCAGGACCATTTTGATCCTGTCTACACAATCACTGACTTTACTCCTTGATAGCCTCAAGGAGAGGAAAAAGATCCCTACCATACAAACCTACCTGTCTTTCAGACAATCCACTTGATACAGTAGAGCTTGCTTCTCATTGTCCAGCTGCGCAATGGAAACCATCGCCTTTCTGTACTTGTCTTCAGTTTCTTTCAAGTTTTCCTGAATATCAACACAACAAATGAAGTGATCAAATACATCCTCCTTGTTACAACTAATTGTGACTGTTGAGCCCCTAATTTCCAATATCTGATTATCTTGTAATTTTCCTATCTAACTGCTAGAAATTTCCTGGAAAATTGGTGGAGAGAATTTGGTACCAAATCAGGGTTACAGCATTTCACCAATAAGTTCCTCCATTCCCATAATGTAGTCACTGTCATCAAGAGCTTTACATGATTACTCATTAAGTTGTAGACTGAAACAAGGTATGCTTTTAATAATTTTTAAAGCCCTCTATAACAATATCCCTCAGTATATTCAATCTTTATTTCAAGTAAGAGAAAATAAGAAAAATCTTAGGGGCAAGAACAAACTTGTTTTACCTGTAGCTAAGACCACAAACTACGGCTTAAAGTCAACTTCTTACATTGCTGCTAAGGCTTGGAATGCATTACCTGATAAGCTAAGATTAACGGCCGAATTTGGCCCTTTCAGGAATGAGATAAGGAAACTAAGTAATTTGTAATTTTATATCCTCATCATTTATATTTAGGCTTATATTATTTTTAAACTCTGTAATTTATATTCATATATTTTTCTCAGTATATTAGCATCTCTATTGCTAGAGGCCTAACAAGCCTCATTTTCATCCAAGTTTAAATAAAGTCATCATCATCATGTGGTTATCTAATAAAAAATCAGTCATTGGAGACTGATATCAAAAAGAAAAACAATATTGAAAAGACGACCAATCTCCATGTAAGCCTGGTCTAAAAATAACTACAAGTATTGAAGTCTCAAAAACAACAGCCTTTTTCAAAACTATGAATTTCATAAAAACTGAATATCTGATTAAAATATCCCATTACAGATTTTTAAAATTCATCAATGTGCTCTATGGTACTTTTGAAAGGTTAAATAAAAACATGCCATATAATGCTATCATATTGCACCAGACATTGGAATTCTCCTTCACTCCTTCTCCGACTGATACTCACAATACTGGTGCAGTTTGCGGCGCGCGACGGCCTGGAACCCACGATTTTAATTAAATTCAACGCATGCGTAATTACATCCTCTTTCTTTCGTGGGCAAGCTTTGGTCTGTTTCACTCACAAGAAATCTGTTTAAAAATCGTCCATTCGAAACACTTTTTGCCACTTTCATGCAAGAATGGCCTCTGAAAAGGTAAGTGCTGAATATGCAAGCTGTTTCTTAAATTAAATAACGAAATATATCAGAAAACAACTCGGTGAAACTATAGCGCTTTGTTATGCTATTTTTCGCGGGCTTAATGTCGCCTGATCGTATACCTTCCGTCAAAGTCCTGGTTTTTCCGTTCTACTTGGTTACAGTTATCTCCTGCAGGTACCCATATCGCAGGTAGATAAATGCAACATTCATCTAGAGTGCCCGCTCGACGAATATATTTTACAACAACACACACACACACACACACACAAAAAATTACAATTGTCATATATGACCTGGTTTCCTGCAGGTACCCATCTTGCAGGAACCAAACGATATGCTCATCAAGGGTACCAGCTCTGATGATGCATCAGCAACATCTATACCAGTGACAAGAGATGAAATAAGTTCTCTGATTGAAAACAAAGTCACTGAGACACTAAAGAGCGCTTTACCAGATATTTTAAGAAATGCATTTATGACAGATCCTGATGGCTCCCAAGCAAATGAAGTTGGGGCACACCCACAACCCAAAAAAGCCAAAGCGGATGATAGTGAAACACCAGTCTCTGTTGTCTCTAGTTGGTCTGACAAATATTATGCACCTGCACAAGAAACTACTATTTCTGAAGAATTAACTTCTTTTCTCAAATCTGCATTTACCAAGCAACTGTCCAAAGATGTTTGGACAAATTTAATGGAACAATATCCGGATATTAAAGGAACAAATGATTTCCTAGTGTCACCCGTATCGCAATCTGGTATGAAAAAGGGCATAAAACGTGTCCATGGCCTATCTCAAACAAAAGATTTGTTCACACTATTTTGATGAGGGTTTAGCTGCCAAACAAGCACCCGTTATTTTTGTTGTTCGACCACTTGTTAGTGCTCTACAAGCGTTAGAGCCAACAGGAGAAGTGAATGTCGATGAGGATGAGCCCTCGGGTCCTGATCCCAACCACATCAAAGCTCTTATTGAAGATGCTATTGTACAACTTGGCAATGTGGATTGTCACCTTAACAGCTGACGACAACAACGTTTCGCTGAGTACTTAACTGGTATTGGAAAGTGTACACTGAAAGATCACGTTCCAGCTGACAAGCATTTGTTCCCTGAAAAGTTTCATAACGTCATTAAAGAGGAACATGATCATGCAAACACAAATCCAAAATTAGTGGCACAACCAACCAAACCTCAAAGATTTTTCTCCACCAGAGGACGTTTTCAAGCTCACACATCCTTTCGTCACCAGCCCTTTCGTGACCAATTTCTCCAGCATTCCAGTTTTGGCCAACAGCACTGTAACGACTCCTTCAGAAGGCATCCTACCACCAACGGCAACAACAAACCCTATTGGGCACGCCATGGAAACCACGCAAAACATAGCTGACTATCAGCTGTCATCACCAGACAATCTTGCAGCAGGTCAATACCACCAGACAATCTTGCAGCAGGTCAAATCAAACATTTTTACTCAAATTGGACACTAATTACATCAGATCCTTAGATTCTATCCATAGTTCAAGGGTACAAAATTCCCTTTGTCTGTCAATCAATACAATGGAGACAAAGACAAACAAAAGCCAAGTCAAAAAAGGACTTAGCTTCCATAAACAAAGCCATCTCACAACTCCAAACAAAAGGTGCAGTAAAAGCTGTACAGGAGAAACTAAATCAATTCACTTCAACACTGTTCATTGTGAAACAAACAACCAAAGAAAGGCCAGTCTTCAATTTGAAGAATCTCAATCGGTTTGTCGTTTCTCAGAAGTTCAAGATGGAGGGTCTGGAAGCAGTACGCAAACTTATCCAATCAGGCGACTTCATGATGAAGTTAGATCTCCAAGACGCATATCTTTCGGTACCAATTCACGACAGTCACGAGAAATACCTACGGTTTGTCTTCCAAGGCATAACTTACGAATTCCAATGCCTACCATTCGGGTTATCCAGCGCCCCCAGGACTTTCACGAAACTGTTAAAACGAGTCATAATACTGCTACGGAGACAAGGAATTCGGATAGTGATATACCTAGACGATATGCTTATCCTGGACCAGAGTCCAGAGAGACTGTCGTCAATCTTTCGGAGTGTTGTCGCTCTGTTACAACGTCTTGGTTTTCTCATCAAGCAGGAGAAATGCTCTCAAGCTCCCTTCCAGTGTCTAGAGTCCCTGGAATCCTTGATAAATTCCAAGGAGATGACGCAAGCCGTTCCAAACGAGAAACTCCAGAATCTCCAATTAGAGTGCAAGAATG